GGGAGCGGCCTCTGCAGGGCCTGGGGCAGGAGCGGCCTCTGCAGGGCCCGGGGCTCCAACACAAGACTGGGTGGTGTATAGTCGGTACCAGAAAACATCCACATGACTTAGTGAGGGAAGGAACCCTGCACCGAGCAGTCCAGAAAGCTTATTCTCTGCAGTTACTTTGAGATCTGTTTCTGTTAAGTAGAAAGAAAAGTGTTGCTTTGCGTTTAGGAATTAGAAATGACTTAATCACTTAAGAACTTAAGTGACTTAAAAACACTGCATGACTGGAATTCATAAAGCCGTTAAACCAGCCGGGATTAAGGGACCAGGATATCCCTGATCAGACCCTTTTTTCCAAAAGGGGTGCGGGGGGATGCTGAAGCTGCACCTCAGGAAGGAGACCGTGCAGGCGAGGCTTAGGGCACAGTCTCTTAGCAAGACCCCACGTCCCACCAGGAGTGGTGACTGGCTCTTCTGAGAAACGCATTTGCGACCTCGTATCCATTACAGACAAGGCTAGCGTCAGTGTGCTGTCCCGTGTATCTCTTCATTCCCAACTGACAGTTTCTGCAGGTAAATTCCTGTGAGTCAGGCTGCCGTGTGAGAGGGTGGTGGGTCACGCCGCCGTGTCTGACTCCTACGTGGCTTTCTGGAAAAGCCCCTGTTCGTCTCATTCCAAGAAAAAGGGCGTATATGTGGGGGCCTTCAGAAGGTTTGTACACATTGGTACTATGAAAAACTATGTATGGATTTATCCATTTTTTGCACCAAAATAAACACATACTTTCTGTTTTGAGAGAGAGAGGCATTTTCGCTGTAGGGTATGTGTGCTCGCCAGAGAGACAGAGAGTGGGAAGTCAGCCCCCCACGGGATGGCCGCTCTGTAGTCCCTTCTCCTCCATTCTCCTCTCGGAATTTTGGGCACCTACGCTCCCAATGGGAATTTTAAGTTGCCAGGTCCGGGACTCGAACTGTGGTCAACTACGTGGGAGTCCAATGATGTAACCTGTGCCATTTGCTGGTCCCAGTTAAACTCAAACTTCAACTCCATTTTACACAAGCTCTTCAAAGTTCCTTGTATCATGAAGGATAAAAGGTGTAGGCCCCAGACAGATTTTTTTTTTTTTTTTTTGGCACAGGGCATGTGCATTCTCAGAGAGAGACAGAGAGGGGAGAGAGAGAGAGAGAGAAATTACCCCGGGGGTGGGGGGGGATACCAATGCTGCAGTCTCTTCTCCTCCATTCTCCTCTTGGGATTTTGGATATGCACACACATGTGCTTAGCATGTTTTTCAAGCTACCAGGTCCAGAACCATGTGGGATCCAGCTGCCTTAACCATCATATCCACCTGACTGGGCCATAAATTATTTAATTTTTTTTAGAGAGATTTTTTTTTGCTATACGGTATTTGTGCTTGCCAGAGAGACAGAGAGCTAGAAAGCGAGAAATCACCTCCCAGGGGAGATGGCCACACCGCAATCTCTTCTCCATTCTCCTCCCAGGATTTTGGGTATGCACGCACATGCATGAGTGTCAAGCCTCTGGGTCTGGGACTTGAACCGGGGTCAGTCATGTGAGGGTCCAGTGACTTAACCATCTTCTGGTCCTGGCCACATAAATTATTTTAATAACTATAGCTCAGATTATTTGAAAGCCTCATGTCTATTTAAAAGAGACCTTTCTGGTGGAGAAAAGGGGCAGTTCCCAAAGGTGGACGCTGCCTTGGTGCTGCGTCTCTCCTGGGAGGCAGAGCGCCTTGTGTGCGGGTTCCTGAGGAGGGCGCGGGGATAGAGCCTTGTGCCTGGGAACCGAGTCCAGGACCTGGGAGCAGAGAGGTCGAGGGGTCTCTGCTCCTTCACGGAGGCTCCCAAACAGAACCGTTGGCAGGATTTGCCGCTCACCCTGTGTATGTGGTGGCTTTGTGATATGTCACGCATCCCAGAGCAGCTCGTCCTGGGGCCTCGTAGACCAGGAGTCGCGGTTCTCTCCCTGTGTGAACTTTCAGCACGTGGTGCCCTCCCCTTCCAGGAAAGCCCACTCTGCCCCACCACTGCTCGAACACGGTGCAGACTTTGCCCCGGGCACGGCACGTGACACACCTGTCATCTTGCTCTTCCTAGTCCAACCATGACACTGTCTCAGCTCAGGTCTGCAGAGAAGAGTGGTTTCAGCAGTTACTGCGACCTCATCTTACCCTTCCCAGAGCTGGCTGGTAGTTACAGCAAGACATGAAAGGCTGCGGAGACCAAGGCCTCCTCACCGTGGTCTCTGGCCCCAGCCTTTGTGGATGCTGACAGGAGTCACTGCAGAAGAGATGTCTTTGTCCTCCGTAGCAAGAGCCCCAGGCCCTTTCAGACGCCGCCTGCGCTCCGTCTCACTTTGGCTTTTGCTCTTTGATCTCCCGTCACTGTGAGGAGCGTGAAAGTGGTTCTGAGGTTCAGTGAGCACTGGCTACCCACACGCCCAGCTCGGGGGCAGCCCAGAGCCTGCCACCCTGCCCTAGGCACCACAGCCGCAGCTGCCCCCACCGAGTGACCGTCCTCGGTAGCATCCTGGCAGACAGGTGCCCCTGTACTGGTCCCAACAGACTGAAGCAAGTCACAGCTCAGGAAGATCTGTTCTGCTTCCAGAAACACCCGCCGGGCAGCAGAGGTCTGGATGGATGAGTACAAAAATTTCTATTACGCAGCTGTGCCTTCTGCCAGGAATGTTCCCTATGGAAAGTAAGTGTGGCCTAGCCTTCTGCTTTCTGGGCATCTTGGTGGGAGGGAGGTGGGGGCAGAGGCAGAGTTGAGAACAGCCACCCACAGGGCACAGGGGCCCCTGCTCGAGGTCAGGTGGGGTGATGGCCCTGGACGATGGCGCAGGGCGAGGGGCTCTCCAGGGTATAGAGAGCCCCCCCCTCCAGGAAGTCTGCATAGGGTTGTGTTTTCCTCTCCAGCATTCAGAGCAGGTTGGAGCTCAGGAAGAAGCTGAACTGCAAGCCTTTCAAGTGGTACTTGGAGAACGTCTACCCGGAATTGAGGTGAGTCCCCCGGGGCCTGGGTTCCCTCTGTAGGGGCTTAGAAGCAAGATCAGAGAGGCAGTGGAGGCTCCAAGAGGGGACAGTAGCCCCGTGCTTGCCCACAGCTGTCTCTGAGCGCCCCGGGGCCTGTGTGCCTGGCCGGGGCTTCCTGCCTTCTCACCTGCTCCCCCGTTCTTCACAGACCTGGGAGTGATCTCAAGTTGTCACCCCAGTGTCACTGTTCCCTGTTGTAAGATGATGGGCTAGGTGACGCAGAGGACCAAGGTCCTCTTAGCCAGAGGACCCAGTGCTGGCCGGAGAAGGGACAGTAGGGTCACTCCTTCCTTCCTGGGCTGACACGGTGCTGCTGTCTCCTGGGGCTCTGACCGCGAGCCACCTCCTCTAGGCGAGTTCTGAGCATGCGTGAAGTGGGCATCACCGCATCGTGTCCCACTTGCCTCTGGGACAGGTGACAGTGGCAGAGACACTCTTCCGAGCCTCACTTCCAGCCACCCTCGTGTCTCAAGCTGATGTGTGCTCCAGGTCTGAGGGACCAGGTCACCTCAGCAGCAGCCATTGAACTGCCAGGTTGGGGATCCACGGGCCCGTCAGCCACGCTGTCCCCGAGGTTTCCCAGTGGCATACCGTCTCCTGCAGTGTGTCTGTGACGCAAGCTGCCCGTTACCGGGCTGCTGCCAGCTCCCTCCGAGCCTCACAGACAGCCCTCTGCGTGAAGTGACGTGGCCTTCAGGCTGTCCGCTCACTTGGCTCCATGGAGCGTCATGGCTGTTTTTGATGAGACACTGGTGACCCCTGCCTGGGGAGAAGGGGAGAGCGCAGTACCTTCCCATGAAGGACGACCTTTGCCAGAGATAGCGCGGTGACAGTCGCCCTACCTGGACCGAGGAGGGCCATCACAGCGGTACTCACTTCGTGTTTGTCACCACGTTTACCTGTGACTTGGTGCATAATGACACCAGACAGAGTGACATGTCGTTTCTCATCAAGGTTCCCCGGGTGACACTGGGCCTTGAGTCCACTGATGACTCCATCTCAGGCATCTGCCCACCCAGTAGCAGAATTTGCTGCCGCTGGCTGGGAGCGCCCGTGGGCAGGCCCGGGAGAGGCTTTGCATGAAGTGCGCTGGGTCTCCCCTGACCAGCAGGCGCTCGGCGGGGAGTGAGCTGAGGTTCAGAGGAGGTCCCACCGAGAGGTCGCACACTGGTGCCTGCAAGGGCAGGGCGCGTTTGGGGCTGGTCCTGTGCTCCTCGCCCTTCTGGTGGAGCCCACAGAGCTCTGCTCTATGACGTCAGGCACCTGCGAAGACACCCGTGTGCCCTTTGTACTAGACAAAGGTCAGACCCTAGTCTTGGGAGACTCGAGGCAATGGGATCTGATTGCATGGGTTGATTTCCTGAAGGACTCAACAGACTCACCTTGAAGAGTATCAGGAGCTTTTCTTCCCAGGAAAATGCTCTTGTGAAGAATGTAAAGACTGTTCCTCCAGCTCACACGCTCGAAGGGCCACAGAGCCAGAGCAGCAGACATCACAGGCCCCCCGGATGCTTGGGGCAGGAAGGGGTACCGCGCCCTTCCCCCTCGCTCCTGCTGCCTGGGATGAAGTCGCTGAGCACAGGGGTGGTGGACGGAGCAGGTCACGCGGAACAAAGCATGATCCTCACGTTGCTTTTCAGGGTCCCAGACCACCAGGATATTGCTTTCGGGGCCTTGCAGCAGGGCACCAACTGCCTCGACACTCTGGGGCACTTTGCTGACGGTGTCGTTGGCGTGTACGAGTGTCACAATGCTGGCGGCAACCAGGTATGTGTGCGTGAACTTGGTCACCGGCAGGCCCAGTGGGGACAGGGAGGGGCCCTGAGGTACCAGGTGGCCCAGCTGCCACCTTCCCTCTGTGCTGGGAGTTGGCCACGAGGAAGTGCCTGGCTCTTGCCTTCGGCAGCCTGCCAGAGTCAGATAGGACTCGGCCCACCTTGGCTGGAAATGCTGTGAGCAGGGGAGGCGGCTGGGCCGGAAAGGCCCTCGGAAAGCAAAGCTCGGGAGGAGGGGCCGGTCTGCCCTCGGGAAATAAGCCTGGCCCACGTGACAAGGGGCTGCGAGTTGCCAGTTCGTGGTGCAAACATCTGGATAAAACGCAGAAATGCAGATAATTCTCACGGGGCCCGACGAAGCTTCTCTTTGGCCTGTGGGTTACACCATGAGGGGCTGGCCAGACCTGTGCGGTCCGCAGACTCGGGTGCTCGGCTCAGGGATGTCCCCGAGACGAGAGCAGCTGTGGACACCGCCCTCCCCCTCTGTCCTCTTTCTCCTTTTGCTGTCACGTGGCCATTACCCGCACACGGGTTCCTCTTCCTGCCCCGCCACGTGTGCCCCCCTGACCCCTCAGTCCTCCCGAGGTGTCCACACCTGCGCTTGTGGAGCAGTTAGGGCTCAGCCGCCGGGACCTGGGCTGGAAGCCTGGTCTCCAGGAGCCCTGAGCACGCCAGAGACCAGCGAGCTGCCAGGATTTTCTGCGGGAGAGGTGGACAGGTCAGCTGGGGTGACACGAGGCCCCACTCACCAGCGTTTCTGATGGACGCCTGCAGGGAGAACCACCTGCTAGTCGGAATGTCCCAGACCCACACTGTCCTGCAGGGCATCGCCTGTGGCGCCAGAGCCCTTGAGAGATGCTGAATGTGAATCCAACTGGATTTTTAGTTCTGTTCTATTTAATGAGGTCACATGTGACGAGCCCACTGGCTGGTGGTTAGCACGTGGCCACGTCCTGAAGGTGACGAGCCTGCGAGGTGGTCCAGCCCGCACACTCCCACGAACAAGCCCTCTCCGAATGGTGGGAAGTGACACTTTTGGGGTGGCGTGTCCCCTGGACAAGAACCGGGAGAGTGCCTTTCCTGATGGGAACGAGGGCACAGTGCTTTGGAAGCGTGGGCAGTTCTCTGGGTCCCGGCTGAGCCTCCACAGACATGCGGGATACAGGGAAGTAAAGGGCCGTGCTTTTCAAGAGCAACCTTTATTTCACAAATTCTGATCATTAAATGCAGCAGAAGAACAGAGCAGCCCCTAGCTCTGCCGTCCGCACAGCGGAAGTAGCGTCTCTGGGACCGAGCATGGCGTCTGCTTAGATAAGGGAGTGCCCAGTGGTGAGGTCGTGGCACCCTAGACGTGACCTTTAACCGGTGTCACCATCCAACACGTGCTGCCAGGGACAGCCCTCCCCATGCCCAGGGGGCTCACCGCAGCTCCCTCGTAGCCACCAGCCCCTCTGCGTGCTGCTGTCTCACGCTCCAGGTGGGAGGAGGCCGGGTGGGCTTGTCCTGGGCCTCCTCCCCGTGCACACGCCTCAGCGCTTCTGTGAACCAATAGGAAGACAAGCCAGTTCCCCTCTGCGCACCTCAGGCTGCGCTTCGGACACCAGAGATGCCTTTCCCTCTGCACCGAGTGGGTCCCACTCCCCTCTGCACGGAGCGGGTCCCACTCTCTCTGCAGCCGCTGACACCAAAGCCCACAGTCAGCACAGACGCAGGCTGGGGCGGCCCCAGGAGGGGCTCCCCTTCTGATGCCAGTCACCAGTCACGAGTCACCCGGGCTTCTGGTCAATGGGAATTAAGCCAGGGTTCCCACAACCTGCCCTCAGGTGCAATCGTTCACTAGAACAGCCAACAGAAAACATGTACCTACTAGATTATCCACTTATCATCGAAGGGTAGACAGCTCAGGAACAGCCAGAGGGAAGGGGTGCAGGGGTCCAGCAGGGTGGGATCTCAGAGTGTCTGTGCCCGCTCGGGAGACATCTGTCAGCTCCTTCCAGGCACAGGGTCCCCAGCCTGGAAGCTCCCTCTACCCTAAGTCCAGGGGCCTTCATGGAGGCATCATCACACGGGTCTGCTCAGCCCGTCTCCAGAACCTCCCCTTCCCAGAGGATGAGTGGGGTGGGATGAGTTTGAACCTTCTCTTCATGGCTCAGTCTTTGGTGCCCAGCGCCCCCAGGACGCCCCCCAGAGCCAGCTCAGTGGAGTAAAAGGTGCCCTTTCATTCAGGGAGTCTCCAGGGCTTAGAGCTCTGTCTGGACCACACTCTGGATCGAAGTCCTCCTAGAACACACTGGCTCAGGAGGTTGCAGGGCTTAGGAGCTTCGCAGTCGTGGCAGGATACCCCTTCCCATGTCCCACGGTCCTAAAGCGTGGTTGACGTTGACATGTGTCAGTGCTTCTGCAGAGCCCACTGTGTTCGCCAGCCGTGTGGTGTGACAGGGTCATGGGGTGTTGGAGGTGGGACTCAGGCCTGGGCATGGCCCTCATGGAGAGGTCTGGTGCCAGAGCTGCCTGCCGGTGGAGTTGGGGGAAGAGGGCTCCAGGCCCCCTGGTCTGGGGCGCTGCAGGAAGCAGGCCGAGCAGGTATTTCTTCTCAGACTTTTCAGAGCCTTTAATAGACTCCTTGTGGATTTTCAGGAAATGCGGCACAAATTTAGTGCTTCCCAAATTTATTTGAACCAGTTTCCACAGAATTCCTCACAGAGTAAAATGTGGGAAATACTAATTAAAAGGTGAGAAGCCCAGGGAGGCCAGGAGGCTCACCCAGTTCTTGCCCAAGCCTTCAGGGAAGAGGACGCCAGCAGACGGGCGCAGGTCCCGCCCTCATGACTCTGTACCCTCTGTGCTCGCACAGCCTGTGGGTGCGCCCTCCCCCGGCGTTCACGGGCACCGGTGTCAACCTGGCACTCTCTTGCGAGGTGACATGTGGCATGGGCTTGTGTGCACGCAGCGTGTGGTGTAGTTTGCACACGTCGCAGTCCGCGTTCACATATGCCATTTCCAGACCACGCCTGCGTGCGCCCACTCCCTCTAAAGAAAGTGTGGGGGACATTGGTCCTCGCTGTCGCTCCGAGGGTGGCCCGGCCTGAGCTGCAGTTGTCACTGCTCTCGCTGAGTTACAGAAATGTGACTATGGTGCTCTGCATGCGTTGGGCTGCACACGTTAATGGCACCTGTCAAAGCATGTTTGCACGTCAGTCAGGAAACTCAAAGCCCGACTGTGAGGCTCCCTGCCTGCATCTGCTGATTCGAGGTCTGCTCCTAGCCACTAAGTAACGTGTCAGGCCTGCTGCGGTAGCCCACGCTGCTGCTTCATCCAGTGAGGCCACACGAGAGGCCCAGGTTCAGTTCCCGGCCCATCCTAAAACATGTGCCTGTGGTCCCAGCTGAGGTGGCAGAGACAGCACCATTATGGCATAGTTCTGACACACACACCCCAAAAAATAAAAAAGAAAACAAATAGACGTTTGCTGGTTTGGGTTGGCTTGGGGGTTCTGAACCCCAGGCCCGACTGTTGACTTCTCATGGCACGGCCCTTGAGGCCACCTCTGACGTGGGCGTTGTGTTCCAGGAGTGGGCCTTGACGAAGGAGAAGTCGGTGAAGCACATGGACCTGTGCCTCACGGTGGTGGACCGGGCGCCGGGGTCTCTGATAAAGCTGCAGGGCTGCCGAGAGAACGACAGCAGACAGGTGGGTCCGCGCGCCGCAGGCCAGGGCCCTCCCGCTGCGCAGCGTCCGCCACTGGGTCG